GTCTGCTAGTGCACTCAAAATGCTCCAGGAGATTTCATTAGACGCTTAACGATGCTTGTAGAATGCAGCCAGCTTGGAGCAAAACACTCACAGGTAATCCTGCTTTTATTTTACCATGCAGAATATTACACACAGGGGCTCACTACATAACACAGGCTGGCCTTGAACTCGTGGAAACCTTCTTCCTAAGCCTCCCTAGGATTCGGAGATTACGGGCATGTCCCCCGTGCCTGGTGGAGAGTATCTTTAGTTCATTTATTATGCTGGTGGCTGAAGTTGGATCCAGCTTGTGCTGTTTGACTTTACCAGCAGACTGTGGCCCAGCCCAGAATATTATATTTAAAAATTGTATCTCTATTATCATTTGTTAAAATTTAGGCTCTCTATGTGGCCAGACTGGTCTGAACTTGCAATCTTCCTGCCTTAGCCTCTCAAGCACAGTGGTGGCCAGCATGAACCACCAGGTTCCATCTGCTCTAGACAGCCACCAGCCTACAGCACCTTCCCAGCTGGGTGAGCCACGAGCAAGTGTCCACCACAGGGCACAGGGCCCTCTCCCCTCCCTTGGGGTCAGCGCCCTCTGGGTCTGTGACAGCTATGCTGCTGGCAACAGCTAAGAGGCTCCAGGGCCTGGTCTCCGGGTTTCTCCATGTCACTCACTCCCAGTGAGGACAGGAAGAACTCACAGCCTTAAAACGAAATATCTGAGCTCACAGCCAGCTCCTGGGCTTCCTCAACTCCTGGTGGGTCCCAGATACAAGCCCCAGAGACACCGCTGGCCTCAGGGACGTGCACTGTGCCTGGGCTCTGGAGGTAGATGCAGCAGCATGTCGCTTTAAGATGACAGCAATGGCACCCCCGGCAAATGCAGGTTTCTGGCAGCTCTGAGGCCTCAGCAGAGAAGGGGGACACTGTCCATGAGAAGGTAGGCAGGTGCTGGCCTCTCTGCTTTCCATCTGTGCTGTGTTGGCACAGGAGAAAAGTGAAGCTGGCAGCCCAGGCTTGCCCTCTCCGGAGTCACCGGGAGAGGATGTGGAAACTTACCTCACCCCCACATCCTCATCCCCTCAGAGAAACACAGGTTCCCTGGAGGGAACAGCAGAGCCCTGGCCATGCGACCGGCTGGCTCGCTTGTGCGCTGGCTCGCTCCTGGCTGTGTTCCCAGCTCAATGGCCTCCTCCGGGCAGGTCACCAGGCATTGGGGCTTAATGAGCTCTACAGGGGCGATGCTGTTGGCCTGTATTTGCCAGAAGGCCATGATGGGGTGACTCATGCCTGATGAGGAGTCTTGCTGGGAGAGGGAACTGCAAAGCAGTTGCCTTCCTGCCCCCACCCACAAACCAGGGCTGCCCTGTGGGTCTGTGTGGCTCCCTCCAGGATTGCTGTCTCCAACCTCACAGGCCCGCCATGCTAGTCTGAGAACCAGAGAAGCAGGCTTTCTGCTCAGCAGCATCAAGCCCACCCCAGCTCCAAGCACAGGTGATGCCTATCAAAGGACACTCAGCGAGTAGGGAGAAGGCAGGGGAGGAAAGCGTCATAAACAACACTCACCAGTGACTAAGCTGCCAGCCTCAGAGACCAAGGAGTAAGCAGGCCAGCCTCTGAGCATCTTGAGTTGGCAGTTTCTGATCCCCGGAAAGGTAAAATGGAGTTGCGCACACACAGCTGTGCCCTAGCCTGTCACTGAGTGTGGGAGTCTACCTTTGTGTGTTTCTCTAACAACTAAATTGTTCCTGCCACAGAAGGACCCTCAGGCACCTTCACAGGGAGGATGGCTTGATTTTAGCTGTTCCCAGGACAACGAGGTGTTCAAACAGACCAGGAGAGCTGTGAGCAGGAACTGGTGTGGGCTCCAAGCAGAGCTGGGCTGAGCTCTGAGCCCTGCCTCTTGGGAGCTGTGCCATCCCAGGTAAGTTCCTTGCCCTCTCCGAGCCTCCATCTCCTTTTATGTGACCTGGAAGAATTCTGAGTATGTCCATCTGCATTGAACGCCGCCACATCACGGGGTCCATGTGCTTTCTGCCAGGGTCCCGTCACGGGATGACAAAGTGACTTGAAAGAACATTCTAGAAGTGTGCACCTGAGTTTCATGAGTCAGCATCTCTGTGTCAAGCGGAGTTCTCACAAGGCTAGCTCACTTGTGCTCTGAGAATGAAGACTGCTATGTTCTTTGCTGGTAAAATTGCTCAGAACGGTCTTGCTCCTCACAGACAGACATCACAGAGGGTGCAGAGGCTCCAGCACCTGGCAGGCTGAGTGAAGAGATCAAGAATTCCACGCCAGCCTGGGCTAAACAGCGAGACCAAATGAAGACACAAAAAATCTTGAAGAAAAAAAAAGAAACTAATTAAAGCAAGCAAACAAACAAACAGGAAGCCACACACTGGCACATCTAACCTTTGTGAATGACTTGCTACCTTGCACTCTGTCCCATCATCCTTGTGGCACAGTGGTGGCCAAGGCTCCTGCTGGGGCAAGGGAATACAGGGTATTCCCTTGGTCCGGGCCTGGAAAGTGTTAGAATCCAGCCCTTCCAGAGCGACACATCACCCCGCTGAGGGTAATACAAGCTGTTTCTTTTGAATTTCATACCTGGAACACGGGAGCATTCTGGAACCTAACTTGAACTGCAGTGTTGGGCTGTGGGAGGATTGAATGTGTGCAGAAGGCTGCATTTTCCGGGACGACATCCAGGATGCTGACTCCAGCTACCAGCCAGAGGGCACTGCAGAAGGGTGGGACCACCTCTTCAGCACTGAATTTCTGCAGGGGTGATGAGTGCTGCCAGGAAGGTGTCCTGAGTCTCCCCAGATGCCGGCCAGCAGTCAGGCAGAAGTGTCAGCTGGTTTCAAATGCATCAGGATAGTGCACAGCACTGAGAGATCAAAAGGGAACAGAAGAAATGCTTGTGGGTGTGGAGGTCGGGGAAGCAAAGTGACTTGGGGATCGGGTCTAGGTTATACTGTTTTCGGTGTTTGCTTTGTAGAGTTTGGAGACCTTCTGCATGCTGAGTGCACGCTCTGTGACTGGGCTCCACCCCAGCCACATTTACATTAAAAAAAATTTTTTTGAGACGCATTTTCAAGTATACTCATCTGTTTACTTATATATTTATGTATTCATGCATTTTGTACACATGCGTATGTATATGTGTGCATGTATGTTTGAGAGATTGAGTATGTGTGTATATGCATGTGTGAGTGTATATGTCTGTATGTGTGTAGGTCAGAGGATGATCTGTGGGAGCTCTCTCCTTCCACCATGTGCATCCAGGTAAAACTCAGGTCTCCAGGGCTGGTGGCAAATGCCTTTAGCGGTGAGCACTCGGGTGGTCCTTAATTTTTCAAGACAGACATCAGCTGTTGTCCTTGGCACTCGAAGACAGGTTGCATTCCCGCTGGGACAGCATTGGCCTCGGCAGGTAAGATGTTCTCAAGGCCAGCGAGAACCATTTCTGACATAGAGGTCGTGGCTGTGCCAGGATGTGGAAGTTTCACAGGGCCTCATGGTATGCTGGTCCCAACGGCTGAGGCAGGAACAAATGTCCATCAATGCCCTCGTGGAAGAACAGTGCTGCCTGTCACAGATGCTGCCCCTTCCCAGCTATGATGGTGACCTGATGCTGCGTCAAAGAGGCCGGACACAGAAGACCTCATGGCCAACATTCCACAGACACGAGTGTCCACAGGAGACAGATCCGTGGTAACAGAGGGCAGCGGTCAGGGCTGAGGAGGGGGCAGGGGGTACCATCATGAGGAAAGGGGCTGGAGAGGGTGGTGGCATCATGTTATGTGCTAGAGTTGCGGTGCTTTGTGCTCTGCGCCGTGACAGGGAACCAGCGTGGGGTTTACCGACAGAGGAGCAGATAAAGGAAGTGTGGGATATAGCTACGACAGCGCACATTCAGCCAGGAAGAGAGACAAGAAAATCTCCAAGCTGCGATGGCTCGGGAAACGTATCTGAAGTGTTCCTATGCACGCTGGGAACATTCTGGAAGACAACTCTGGTACCATTTATGTAGGTTATTTGGTAACCAACTAGAGATCTCAGGGGGTTACTCAGAAGCATGTTAAAAACCAAAGGATTGAGGACTGGTGTGGCCCCCAAGCTGGCAGCAAGTGGCACATCACTCCTGATGTGATCGGGAGGGGCAGGCTGGAGGACCTCTAGGTGGACGTGGCGAGCAGTGTTGGGGACCAAGAGCAGTGCTAGGTTATATAAGGCCTCCGCTGCTTCTGAAGAGCGGTGGTTTGTGTGCTCTGGCTGCAGTTGACTTGGCCCTGTTTCATTCACCCAGTGGGACTTGGTTGCTGAGTCCCCGCTCTCTATTTCACAGTTTGTAGTCCCCATGGCTGGTGGAGAACTGTGTGGGTCACAGGGACGAGGAAGGACTCTGGGTGTGGACACATGGAAACCATAGTGTCCTCTGGTCTTTTATGTCCCTCCAAGGAGGTGTCTCCGAGGCTCCTCTGGGGTTAGGGTTGCCTAAGCTGTCATCCTTAGTAAGGCTGTCCAGCTCCTTTGAAATGGCTTGGAACTCACCAGTTCAACTAGGCCAGCCAGCCATGTGCTCCTGGAATCTATCACAGTTGCCACCAAACCCAGCTCTAAGCCTGGGAGCCTAGGGAGGCTTGCATGGCAAACAGTACCACCTGAGCCACCTGCCCAGCCAGGACACAGGTCCTGGCTAGTGATGGGTGCCTAGCAGGGGCCGTCTCAGAGACCCTTCCTAACCTCCCAGTGTCTGACCAGGACTGTGTCCTGATGGCACAAGGCTAGGGAACTGGCAACCTCACATGCAGTATGAGTGGCTGCAGTAAGCCGGTCCTGAGCTATTCATGGAAACCTCTAGACCTCCATAAGGGTGCCCCACCCTTTTCTCTCCAGACTAGATGGAGAAAAGCCCCAGGGGACCCTTGGCAGGCACCTCCCTAAGCCTGCCAGCCCACCCCCATCCCCAGCAATCCCAGAGCACAAAAGTTCCATGGTGCTTGAGGCTCAGTATTTTTCGGTCTATTTATTTCAGAAGCAGCATTGACTTGGTACAATTGTCACTAAGTGGCTGCCGCACACTGATGCTCTAATTACACAGAATTTTTATCCATGGAAGGGAACGTTCTCGAACCCCAAGGCTTTGGGACACTCAGAACGCAAGGAAGGGGGAGCAGTGCAGTGAGGTAGTTATGTCCATGGCATGGCTGTGAAGGGCTGGGTTCAGTTGTGGTTTTCTCTTTCACCCACCTACACAGACAGCCCAGCCTACATTTACACAGCAGAGCTCTATCCAAACCAAGGCCTAGTAGAGCAGCAGCCTGCCTCCAAGCGGCCTTGAGGGAGTGGGGTCATCACACACACCTTTGGAATTGAAAGACAAACAAAAGATGTCACCAGCGCAGGTGAGGCATTTGGTGATCTGGCTCTGCTTAGCACATGGCCAGGGGACCATTTAAGCCATTACCTTCCATAAGCCAGCACTGCCACGACAGCCATCAGCATTCTCCAATAAAGAGCCCGTGTCTCAAGTCTGCCTCCATACATGTTCTTTCGTTCGGTCCAAACAAGGCCAGGTAGACAAGGACAGCATGGGCTACATCTGGATGTAGACAGAGCAGATGCTTGTAAATGTAGTCTCCGGTCAGGTCATCCAATTGCCTCCACTTCCAGTTAGGACTAAAGCTAAGAAACGGCCCGTCTTTATAGGAGAGTTACCTGCCGCTGGCCCGCCTCCATCTACTGTAAGAAGGAAACACTTCCAAATGAGAGCATAAGCAGCTGCTGACACACATGACTGAGTCCACAATGGCACCCCGAGCTAGAAAACAAGGTCCTGGCAAACTGAGGTGACAGGGACGGGCTAGCCTTGGACATCTCAGCTCCCTCTGAGCCCACTTCTGAGGATAGCCGCAGAAACTGGAACTGGGGTGCTATACAGGAGTGTGTGGGTGTGCGCTGGGCAAGCTCGTGGTCCTACTGAGGAAGACATGTCTGGCCTCTCTGTCTAGCAAGCTGCAGGCGAGCAGAGGTCTTACTCTGAGCAGACCCACCCGTGTTTCCAGCACGACGTCCCGGAGTAGAGTGCAGCGCAGCTGGCACGCCAACAGACACTGCCGTCCTGCTTTTCCCTCCTCGAAGAGCAGTTCTCAGCTGGTAGACAACAGCAGTGCTCCCCTGACAGCTGGCCACTTCTTCCAGCCGTCACCAGGGTCCAGAAAGTCTACACTCAGCAAGACACTCGGCAAATGTTAAAAGAAAACTAGGCTTGGCTATTTTTCTTTTTTTAACCTCAATCAGGAGAGACCCTGCTTTCTCCTGTCTTGATACTGAATGAAAGTGGGCAGGCCACTGGTGTGGTTTCTCTTGGTAAGTTCATTTATTAATTGTTGTACAAAAAGAAAAAAACAAAAAAAAACAAAAAAAACCCAAAAAACAAAATAAAACAAAAAAACCCAAAACCTTGGCATTCGTTAGAAGTTGCTATAATCAAATCTTTAGCAAATTTAACATTCTGAAAGTTCTACTTTTTATAACAGGGTTTTTTAAAATGGAGAAAACTTTTGGAAAATTTTTTAAAAAGAAACTTATGATTTATTAGAGTACAGGATCCAAAACACATTTTTAGAAAAATATAAAGTGCCCAAATACCAACTTACACAGGTGATACAGGCTCCCTCAGCCAAACGAAGCCTTCGTGAAGAAACACATTTAAAAACAGTCTAGGTACATATTTACAGTCAGGTCAGGGAGGAAAGCCATCTTTCTCAGCTTTGACATTTCTCTATGGAAAAAAGGAAATCAAAGCAGAAGCCCAGCAATGAAACTCCCAGCATGCTCTGTGGCTTAGTACTGGGATGCAAGGGTGTGAATCCTTGTGGGTTGATTTTCTCCTTTCAGTGAGTAGGTGTAAATAAAATCCCCCAACCTCAGGCAGATGCTCTGAGTGGTCAAATCCCAAATTCGAGTGCAAAGCCGCTGAGTGGCTCTGATGGGTGAGGCACAGACAGGACAAGAAAGAGCCTCTCAGCTGCTGCAAGAGCCTCGGGCTTCTCAGCCTTCTGGAGATTGCCTAAGGGTCTCCCTCAGCCATCCTGGGGTGGTGGAGGGCAGTCGAGGAGGGAGTGGTCATCTCAAGTGGCGTGAGGATGCACATGCAGAAGGTAGGCAGGCGCGCATGGCAGGCAGCCCTCTGGGGCCCCATTCTCTAGGGCAACATCATTCTAAACGCAGGGCGAAAGTGCTGTCAGCCCACTGGGTGAGTTCCTACAGGAGAGCTCACCTGAGAACCAGGTGGCACCCACTGGGACCTGCTAAAGGCTCAGTCCCTTCACACTCACAGCATCAGGCAGAAAGAAGCCAGGGATGACCCGAGGCTAGGCCTCATTCTGGAGCCAGCGTCCTGGAGCCTTAAGACTGGCAGCCCGAAGCCCAAAGCATGCATGCCTTTTCTCACAAGCCCAACACTCTCAAAATGGAGGGTCTGGATGTGACTCTAAGGAGTGACAAGGGCATGAAACCTGTTTCCCCTGGCTAGGCTTTTTCAGTTAATTCTCCTGACGAGAAGTTTTTGGGGACCAGGAGGTACAAGTTTTAAGGGCAATTTTCATCTTCAGGCCTCACTACTGAAACAGACCATAACTTAGGATCCACTCATGACACTGGAGTGGATTCCTAAGGCTAAACAAGGAGCAGTCTTCCTAAAGGAGCAGCTGATGAATGTGGAGAACAGCACTCAGAAAGGCCATTACTGTGCATCTGCTCAGAGAACCAATGTAACATGACAGAAGCTCACGACGGGCACAAGTGGGCACAGACCCAGCGGGAGAGAAGGGAGAAGCTGTCAGTGTCCAATTTAAGTTAAAAAAAAAAAGGGGGGGGGGACACTTGAAGTCTGTGTTTCATGTATTAGCAAAAAGTAAAATAATAATTCTAATCATTCTGACTCCCATCCCTACGCCTTTATCTGAGTACAACCAAACTCAAGGAAAGGGGCAGGCAGTCCTGACTCAGGGCACGCCCATGTGCCAGGGAGCAGGAAACATGGACCCCGTCTGCCCAGCCGGAGAAACGACGACACAGTGTAGATGGAGACAGGGATAGGAAGGGGATGAAAGAGCAGTGTGGACGGTGAGACCTCATGAAGACAGAATGTCACACACTGTCACCACGGGACAAGCAGACGAGCCATGCCACTGGACACGGTGCCTTTCAACTGATTCACTAGTGTAGCGGAGAGCAACGCTGTCTCTGTGGCCGGAGGAGCACACACCATCTAAACTGGGGAGGCAGCCAGGGCTGCTGGTGAAGTGGCTGTCCTGTGCGGACTCCAGGGGGACCAGCACATGTCCTTCAGGAATCCTGTTCCCCTAGAAGGTAGCAGCAGAAGCAGCAAAGATGTAACATCCCCTGAGTCTACTCGGCTGTGTCCTCCTTTGCACTGTAAATGTTCTGCACTGTCTCGTACACAAACTCCAGGTCCTCGGGGTACCGGATCTCCAGCTCTGCATTTGGGATGTAGTGTGTGCCTGTGAACTCTGAGAAGTAGCGTCCCACATCCGGGTGCGAGATTTCCTGAGGCTCCACGTTGTATTCCAGGTTTTCTGTTGACAAAGAGGGACGGAACAATGCTGTTAGCATTTCGGTTTCTGCAGTGGCTCTCTGCTGAAACCCTCCTGCCACCCTGCTTTTGAAACAGAGCAAAAGTTACCGCCAGAGATGGTTTGTTATTACAGGGACTCAAGAGAAAATGGCAGAGGTGGCCACTGGGGGTGGGCAGGAATGGTAACACAAATCCCTTCCCTGTGGCTCTGCCCAGAAGACATATCTTCCTATTCTCTGAGAGGCATGTTTGATTTCAACACTCTCCATGGTGCCTCTGGGGTACTCTCTGCACCTGTCGTCTGGCTTAGCAAACAGCTGGAGCTGGGTAGACAATTCTCACCTGTACATTCTGCCAGTGGCCAAGTGTCAAAACCACCCCATCACTTGGTTGTAAGTCTCAAACCCGCCACGCCTGTCCACAGAGGAGCCCCTGCCACACAGCCACCCTTCTCCACCAGATCTCCTTCACTTGGGCCACACCTCTGGCTGAGCTGGTGGCTGCAGCTGCATCCACACCCTGCTTGGTCCCTAGAAGAGCCTGGCTGCCTCCTTCCTGATCGTGGCTTTGGCACTGGAGAAAGGGACAGAACACAGACGTTTACAGTGGAGAACAAATTTTCCAGGTGCTACACAAAAAGACCAAAGCCCTTCTTCATGGCTCAGCCATGTAAGACAGGGGACCAGACAAGCTTATTGCTGTGAAAGACCCACCAAGAGAGGCGCTGACTACACAGAATCCCATGACTTGTCCCAGGCTGGGGCACAGGCACAGCCCCGCTCTAAAGTTACGTTAAGTGGGGTCCTGAGCAAGGCTTGCCACGGCAACAAACAGGAAGGCCCCAGACACCAAGAGGCTCTCCTAGAGCCAGAACTGTCCCTAACACTTGTCTCCTGAGAGGCAGACACTGTGGCCAACCACCTGTTTCTGGAGGGTCTGGACTGTTGGGGTAGCATCTTGAGCATGGGTCAGGACATGCCCTGTGAGAAGTGACACTGTTGGGAAATCATCAGCACCCTGACACACCTAGTGTGGAGGCAAGGGCCTGATTGTGCACCAGGAGGGAGGGCACTTCGTCAGTGAAAGCATCCTCCCGAGAAAACACCAGGAAGCCTTGCAACTGTAGGCAGCAGGGCAATTTTGAATCTGGAGCTTACTCTGCCTAGGCCCCGTGACAGCCTCACAGTGCAGTGCCATCTTGGTCCCACCTCATGTGGAAGGGCTGCCCAAGGGCTCTGGCCAGGTCAGACCCAGACAGTGTACAGCTAAAGGGGAACATGTATGTGCATGGGAGGGCTCGGCTGTCTACACACCAGCCAGCCTGCCCACCCACCTGCCCTCTGGCAAACAGCGGATACAGACAATGTCAGTCTCTTCATGTCTTACACTTTTAAGGGCTGTAACGGGGACAAATGGAGAAACATAAAAGTCAAACGAAAGCCCCCTCCAGGGATTGTTCACAATACCACTGCTGCACTGCCCAACACCGAGCCTGTGTGTGTGGCCTAGTGTGTTCTCCTGGGGCTCAGACCACAGCAGACCACTGCAGAGGCCTCATGCCCCACAGAAAACACCAGGAGCAGAGAGCCTTGGACTCAAAGGGAGGAAGGTCCTTGCACTCAGGGAGCATTTCACTGCAGAAGGACAGTTAGGGGGAATCTGATCCAGCCTTGAGCCTCGTTTGTCTAATGTAGTAGGGTTCGAGGGAAGCTGCTTATCCCCCAAAGTCTGAAGGAATTTCTGGTGGTTACACCTGGGAGCTGCTCTGGATAAAGCGGGGGCTCAGGGGTCCTGCTCGGTGAGACCTGCTCTACAGAACTCCTGTACCTGTGCAGCCCTGACCACTGCTCTCTCCCTAGGTGCTAAACAGTGGTCTCTGCATGCCTGGGGGAGGGGTAAAGAGCTCTGTTGGAACAACATGGCCAGGCAGCTACTGCAGGCTTCTGAACATGGCTTTAACAAGAGGCTGCTCTGGGAAGCCCAGGCAAGAATAGCAGGTGGAAACCTGGGAGCTAACAGTACACGCTCTGGGCTACCTGGGCCCACCTCCTGCCACACTCAGTGCCCTGGCCTGATGTGGAGCGACAGAGCAGAACATAAAACAGAGTCTATTCTGCGGCACTGGGGAACCAAGCTCAGGGTCTTGTGCATGCTGGGTGAGGGCTCTACACTCAAGCTGTACTCCCAGCTAGATTTTATGTTTACTTTGAAAGTAAGTTGCCCAGGCTGGCTCCAAACTAATGTTCCTTCTGCCTTCCAAGTGTGGGGATCACAGCTGTGTACCCCAAGCACAGAGACTGAACAAGCTTCTCACAGGAGAGAAGAGAATGAAGGAGCCAGTGCCTGTGCATCTGGAGGGAGCATTTGTCACCTGTAAGCCTCTGAGATAATAACTCTAAGGATCACAAACAATGCAGCTCTCAGAGGAATGTGATTGCTTATTAACACTGAATCTGTAGCTTCTTCAGATTCAGATCATGTAGCTCCATGGAAATACAATCAGAAGCACCACCTTTAGTCCTCTGTGGATGCTGGTCCAGCACCTCCCTCTTGGAGGGACAATGGCACAAGGTGTCCTTTTACTCTTGGTTTGTTGTTCATTTCTGTTGCTATCTATATCAGATGCACACTAAGTATTTATTTCCATCATGTTAACCTGCTACCCAACATTCTAGAGATTTCTATTGCACTGTTTCAACAGAGACCACAGACCTCCTGGTACTAAGTGTGGATGTGTCTCTAGCTAAGGGGTCGTGGGAGGAACCACCAAAAAGAGCGAATGCTTAGGGGCTTTACCACTAAAAAGACAATGCCAGGCCATTTAAATGGCTCAGTGGGTAAAGACACTTGTCACCAACCTGAAGACCTCAATTTGACCCCAGGAACCAGGAGTTGGAGAGAACTAACTCCCACAAGTTGTACTCTTATCTCTTTACGCACGCGACAGTCCATGCCCACCTCACCAAATAGAATCTAACAAGAGGAGGCCAAATGGTCCCCCAAAATGATCGAACGTCACTTTATACCCCTCACCCCTACTGCAGAGATCCTCACCCTGGCACCATACATGTCAGCAAGAGCAGACTGTGTGGGGCTGGGGTGGAAAGGGCAGCGTAGGAGGTGATGAAAGTTATGGAAGGCGCACTGCCACCCACTAGGGCTCCAATGCTCAAAACGACACCAAGAGCCTTTTCTTAACCAACAAAATACCCCTGACCTTCTGAGAGGAGCATTCCCGGCACACACCTCCCATGGCACCTCTGCAGCAGCCGTGAAATAAGGGACAGGAGCCAAGTGCTGTGACGTGCTCCCCCTAGTGGGAGCAGGGAGTCACACACAAGACTGAGGAATTGTAACAAGTTCAAAGAAGACACAGAAGCTTAAAGTGCCCTGTGGTGACATTGCTAACGGCCTTTTCTCAGGGAACTGGGATCACTGACAACTCAATCAAAAGAAGTAAAACAAACAACACAGACAATAAGTCATCCCAGAAATGTTTGAAGAGTGACCTGTGTAGTTTAAAAACACAGCTCGTGGCCTCTGAGACAACCAGCAGGTATAAGCACCTGCTCAAGAGGACTCAAGTCGGGTTCCAACACCTGTGTGGACGGCTCAGCCATCACTCCAGCTCCTGAGGACCCAATGCCTCTGGCCTCTGTAGGCGTTGTATTCAGATGCATATACCCACACAGACACACATATAACTAAAAGCCAAATGAAGTCTCTTAAAAAACGTAGCTTCAGCTGAGCGTGGTAGTGCACTCCTTTAACCCCAGGACCCAGGGGGCAGAGGCAGGTGGATCTTTGTGAGTTCGAGGTCAGACTGGTCTGCAAAGCGAGTCCAGGACAGCCAAGACTACAAAGAAAAACCCTGTCTTGGAAAAACCATAACCAAAACCAAACCAAAACAAAAACGTAGCTTCTCAGGCTTTTGAGCTGGCTCAGTGGGTAAAAGCATGTGCTGCACAAACCTGGGGACCCAAGCTCAATCCCTGCCTCCTACATAAAGGGAGGAGAGAATCAACTCCAGAGCTGTCTCTGACCTCCAGCACATGCCCTGGAACATGTATATCCCCTGCTCACGGCGCACACTCACACTCACACACACACATACACACTCACACACTCTGACAATAACTTTTCTCAGAAAATTAAAAATCTAGCTTGTCAAAGCCTCTATCCTATGGCAATGGGCTGTGAGCATCAAACTGTCCCCAGAGACCAAAACACATTGGAGTAAGAATCAAGACTCTGGCAGGGAGCGGGAGAGGGGAGGAGGCATCGGGAAACAGCATCTTCATGTCACTGGGCAGGCGCAGCAGACACTCCTCAAGCTGCAGTGCTCCTGCAGTGTACAGGTCTCTGCGGAGCGACATTCACAGGACGCAGTGTGACCCCATGGACTGACTGCTAACTAGAGAAGTCAGAAGCAGGGTGACTTCTAGTTGAACTCAGCATCACCTGGGGTGGGGTGGCCTGGTGGGTAGCTATGCCCATGTAGTCAGACCTCAGACTTCACTGCTGGGTCACAGATAGAGCATAGGAAAAGAGACAGTGAGCAAAACAAAACAAAACAGAACAACAAAATCCAACCAACCAACAAACAAAACAAAAACCCAAATCCAAGTCCTGGCGCAGGGGAGCAGGATGGCTAGTGAGAAGGTTTCCTTGAGGGAAAGGCTTCACAAAGGGAGTAAATCACAGCGGAACTTCATGGCTGGAGCCTGTCAAGCTGCAGAGGGCTGTCCTGTGACAACTGGGCAAGTGAGAATGCTGATGGAACAGGAGCTGTTAGCCGTGTGGCTCAGGTGTGCTGCTGCAGCTCTAGCGCACCACCAGGCAGGATCCCATCGCGCTCCTTCACAGGCTGGCAGAAAGCCCACCTCTCCACACACGAGGAACCAACTGGCAGTGACTGAAGTGCATGGAGTGCGCCTACATGAGCAGGCATGGTGAGCTCCAGTTCGGGGGAAAGAACGTTTGGGAGACAGCTAAGACCGTGGAGCAGAGAGCCCAGGCTGGAAGTCCAGCACATAAATAAACCCTTCACAAGGTACTCGAGACAGGGGTTTGTCCAGGAAGGAGCGTGAATGCATGTGTGTGTGGCTGCAGAGGAACCCTTTGCTCCCCTTGCACCCACAACCATCAACAGCAGCCTTCTGGAGACACCATGGTCCTGTGGCCAACAGGAGGGCCAGCGGAAACCAGCAAAAGCCAAGATAACCGCAGCCACTTTCCATCTCACTGGGTCAATGGGCCACACAGTTTGTTTGTTCTTTCAGTTGTCTGGCACTGTGACTGCAAACTACTGGCTTCAGCAGGGCCTACTCACAACACCAAAAGCTGACTGCTCGTTTTACAAAGGGCATCAAGCAAAGGAACCAAAACTAAAGGGCTGTTTCTAGAAAACTCAATACCCTATTTAAAGATGTTCATACTGCTCCGTACAGGGTGAACAACTGCTGTACCTGGTACTGCCACAGCTGCAGCCACGGCCACAGCCACAGCCAAAGCCGCAGCCGCAGCCGATGACAGAAAGTCTCCCTCACCCATCCCCTAGCAAAGCCCTGGGCCATTTTTAAAAAACTAGCTTTCAGCAGTGGAGAGCTTCGGTTTTCACTGGACTCAGCTTCAAAGGCTGAAGACTGTGCTGTGGAAGCCCCCAGAACATTCTAGGAGCATGGTGACCACTTTTCCTTACCCAGGAACCCATGTTAGTGAGGTCCCTACAGACGTACCGCAGGGGTCCTCCTTGCCTCAGATGGGTTGCGATCACTCCTGTGGGAACTATTCCTGCCTTCTGAAACCTTGATACTTCAGCCCTTGAGTTTTGGTTTGGTTTGTTTTTTTCCAGACAAGGTTTCTCTGTGTAATAGGCTGACCTGGACTCACTCTTTAGACCAGCCTAGCCTCAAACTCAGAGATTTGCCTGCCTCTGACTCCTCAGTGTGATTACAGGTGTGTGCCACTATGCCTGATTATTTTTACCTATGCCTTCAGTATTTTTAGAGCAGCTAGAGCAAGCCTGATATCAGGTCAGAGTCCATTAGCAGGCTCCTGGCTTCACATCCTTCTGGGTGGATAAAGCAGAGATGACCTCTACGTGCTCCAGGCTTTGCATGTGTGAAATGGAGAGCCTGGGTCCCAAACAGACTTAGTACCCACAAGACCCCACCTGTCCATCATGTCAATATTCAAGTTCCCTCTTATTAATAGAATCACTGAGCACCTTCCTGGCCGGGTGTATTAAACAAAAATGGAAGTAAGAAGGGACACGAACAAGAGAAGGCAGGCTCACACTGAAGTCTTTGCTCTGATTCTTCAGCTCCATCTCTCCCACCCAGGCTCAAGACTTCCTGGGTCAGCAAACAGCACGGCCTGTGCTGGGAGTGCAGTTTCCACCTGCGGCCACAAGAGGGCGACTTTGGGCCAGGCCTGGGAGACAGGGAAGCCAGGAGTCTGGCTGCTGTGGACACTGAGCAAGCTGAGGAGTCAGCAGCAGAACAAGAATTAGCTGTGACTAGCTGTGGACAGCTGCCACTCGTAAACACACTGGTGAGCTTTGCCCACAGCATGGTCAGCCAGGGGCCGGTGGAGGTCCAGCTAGTGCCTTACCTTGGGCTGCATATCTGCAGGAGCCATCCTCCACCAGCACGTTGTAGAAGGGCTGATGGTGGCCATGCGGCAGACTGTGCACGTTCATGTTTCGGATCCACTCGTGCCCCATCATGCAGGTGGGGTCCCAGCCATATATCACACAGTTGTAGCCATACCTGTGGGGCAGGGACAGACAGAGAGTGAGTTCCATGGGAGCCTCAGAGCCACAGTGGAATCAGGACAGCCTGGCTAGGGTTTTTTCATGCCTTTGTTCAGTACCTGCTTTTACCTAATGTCAAGTCATTTTTCAGTATACCCTGTTCCTCTTTATAAACCCTCTTACTGTCAACAAAGCACTTTACTTACAAAAGGATAACCTTTTTTGTTGTTGTTGTTTGCTTTTTCTAGACAGGTTCCCATTATGTAGCTCTGACTGGCCCAGAACTATGTAGATCAGGCTGGCCTCCAACTCAGAGATCAGCCTGCCTCTGGCCCCTGAACACTGGATTAAAGATGGATGCTACCATGCCTAGTTTAAGGAAAAAAAATATTTTGAGTAAAGTGGACCCCAGAGCACATCTAACTAAATATCTGTGTGATTTGAGATCCATGAAGGAAGGAATCAGAAGACACTAAATCCAAGATAACAAAAGACCCTAAGCAAACTACTATGCAAAAAAATTCTGATCCACCCAGCCTTGGAAGGAGGCTAGGGAATTGCTTACTGCCTTTGGTAAGATGCAGGGAAATGAGAGGAGTGGAGTCCTCCCAATCTCCCTCTACAGAAGATTAGGGTAAATGGGTACAACATCAGCTTCATTAGTCCAGAACCAAGGAGGAGGAGGAAGGAAGAGGAGCAGGAGGAGAAGAGGAAAAGGGTGTGGTTCACTGCTGAAGCATGGACACTGGGAGCTTCAGCTGCCTCATGTGCCTTTTTCTCCACTCTTACACGTTCACAAATTCCCATAAAAGTGAAAAAAGAGTTCACTACATGAATAGACATCAGAGTTCCTAGCGGGGAAAGCTCTGCAGCTTATCCTCACAGATAACGGAGGGAGTGGGGCGCAGCCACATCAGCAAGGAAGACTGTGTGGCCAGAGAACCTCCTTTGCCACTGAGGTAGTGCTGAGGACCAAGAGCCACCTGCTGCATGAGCACGCCAAGGGCACTCTATGGGGATGGTCACTCACAGCTCCCAGGCTACTCGTGGGACAGCAGCCCACACCACCACTCTGGTCTTAAACTCTGCCTGGTGAGCATACGTGTGCAGAACTATAGGTCAGGACAGCCCTGCCAACCCAGATCAAAGATGGCAGGGGAAGAAGGGTCAAGGGTCAAGCAGAAGGGGGAGGGCTGCAGCTCAGGGAGCTTGCCTAGCAAGCTCAGTCCCTAGGCTCAAGCCCAGCAAACCCATACAGACTCCTAGTGCAGTCAGAGTCCATGAGGCATTACACCTCACAGTCAGAAGCATGGTGCAGGGCGGGTCCAGCTTGCTGTCTTGCCTGTGGCGGGAGCTGAGTGAAATGACCTGAGGTAGCAAGGTGTGGCTCTGGGGATCCTCTTCCCTCTGCGGTGTGGCCGTGGCCCTGGAAGCCTGTGGACTGCCATGGAGGCCTAGAGCAGGCACTCACCTCTTGTGCTTCATAACGAGCCCAATGGAGTAGCAGACATCCCTGTGCTTCTCCTCAGAGCGCAGCTTCACCTCCACGCCCACCTCCTCCTTCTTGCGCTCAATGTGCTCTAGCGTGTGCTGTACTAGGTAGCCCACCGCCCCGTGTTGCCCCGGGTCGAGGGTCTGGATGTGCTGGAGGATGTCAAGCACCTTCAAGACAAGACAGAAAGACTAGGAGATAATATTTTCGCCAGGCCTTTTCTTTTCCGAAGCGTGGGATCAACACCTACCCATTTAGCCTGACAAAGACCGGCAGCGATAGCCTGCCGCTGTGGACCAGGGTTCTTACAGGACCAAACATTCTTGGTTAGCATAGGAGCTAGGGAATGCCAACTTGTTTATGTTTTTTATTTGTTTTTTTGAAGTACAGAAACCGCTCTACCCCATCATTCTTCCTTTAAGAGAAGAAAATTCCAAGACCCCTTAGTCAAGGCAAAAAGATCCTTGGCAGAACTGTCTTGAAGCTGGGTGAGCCTCTCCTAAGTCACTTGAGGGAGGAGCCAGGCTTAGCAAGCTTCCAGATGGCAGCGTGTAAGTGGTCACCTCTGCAGAGCTGAGGCTGGCAGTATGAACAGGGCCAACCCCACATGGTCTGTCTGCTATACACAGCACTTCCACTCAAAGAATCAGGTTCATGCAAAGTTTGTGTGTGTACATACCAGCACACCAGAACACACACACTAGTCTCTGACAAGCCTGTTCTTCCAGTCTGCCAAGCCCTGAGTTGCACCTGCTTAGAGTGACAGGCAACCTTCACTCTAGGCCCAAACCTGTCAACCAGCTGCTTCACTGCTGAGTTACTTCTGGCCACACACAAGCATATCCACCCAGCTTTAGCAATTACCATGAAGCCAACCTCGCCTTCCAGAGCAATACAGTAGGCTCCTGGTATTTGCTGGCAACTAACTAGAGGTCTCTATTGGGCATGGGGCAGCACAGCCACTACTGATTTCCAAGAAGGAATCTGGCTTATGAGCTTAAGTGCTGGTCTGAGGTCAGAGGGTTACAAAGATATATAGCACTGAGTATGACCCTCAGCCCATGGTCTCAATCACCATTGTGCCAGGGCAGTATCATAGAAGCATCCTATATTTTACTGTGATGCAACTTAATATACAGAACAATGGGCAGAGTGCCAGTATATCAAATACTTCAAAGACAGCGTCAACAAAAATCCACCAGGAGACAGTCCCTATCCCTGTCCCACCTCCGGGGTATAGGAGGGAAGGGGGACCTCTAAGGTGGGGATGCTCACTGCATTTGTGCTTTGTAGCTCAGAGCATCCCATCTGACAGCAAGCCTGTGTGGACTCTGCGGGAAGCAGTGACTGTCCTTGTGTGTGCTGGCCAGTGAGCTGGTCCCCTTCCTTCTCAGAGGTCACCAACAGACCTGCAGCACAGGCAGACAAACTCCGCATGGCACAAAGGTGGCCCCACTGTAAGGCAGGAAGTGTTGGCTTCTTGCATGGATTTTTGAGACTGAGGGTGAAGGGGCATGGAAAAGGAAACGTGATTTGACCTTCTGTGTTCACAAAGGACAGTGCTGACAGTGGGCATCATGTGCCCAACCAATGCTATAGACCATGGCTGGATGTAGTGACTCACATCTTTAACACCAGTACTGGGAAGCAGGATCCCAAGAACCACTGTGGGCTACATACTATACTCTTGCCTCAAAACCAAAAGCAACAAACCATGTCCCACCCAGATCAAAAACAAAACAAAACCCCCAAGGCTCAGGGATCGGGAGGAGGCACTCTTGCTCACTTACATGGCTCCTCCTCTGGACACACAGCAGCAGTACAGAAGGCTGTAGCCAGCCTCCCACAGATGGCAGCCCCAAGCCTGCCAGTCTGATGACCTGTATGTATGAGTACTACATGTCCACTAAGCCTTCCTCTGAGTCCTTGCCTCCCCTTGCTTGTCTGTCTGCTGCATTGTCTGCTGGGGCTGCAGTTTGGTGTGGCAGGAGCCCTTGATAAAGGTTCTACACACCCTGTCTTGGCACTTTCTCCCCAACCAAACAGTCCATGCCTTAAGCACCACTTCTAGAGTAGCATGCTGGTCTCAAGACAAAAACTCTGTAAGGTGCTGGGAGTCTCCTCCACTCATGTCCATGAGAACAACAGCCACTCAACCATTCCCTAACAGGAACTTCTCTGGGTAGCTGCTACATGCCAAGACCAGTGCTGTGAGCACAGAGAATGCTAATTGGGACTAGTGTATCCCCTGTCCTAGGAGAATTTGGTCCTGTATGGAAGGAGGTTGGGGCAGCAATGGAACTTCGAGGTCAGCAGAGGGAATGCAGCATGGGTGAAGCAGACACAACAGAAGTGCAGTGGAGAGCACCAGAGGAAAGATGTGGACAGAGGGCAGGCAGGTGGAGCAGGACTACAGAGACCTGGGAACCATACTTCCCGGCTAGAAAAGCATCCCAAAGGCAGCAGGGAGCCACTCAGGGACAAGTCTATCCTGCTGAGACCCTGACTGCCACTGCCGTATACATGACAAGAAGGCCCCATCAAGGAGGGCCACCAGTGGGCCATGTTTTCCCTTCCCCCATTCAAGTGTAAAGGAGGCATTAAAGGAAGCCCCTAGGACAGTGCAGTAAAGGAAGTCTAAAGAGCATCTGTAGGTAAAGCTTGGCAGGGAAACTTAAGACAAGAGACCAGAGGAGCCTGGGAACCAGTGGCCAGAAGCAGGCAGAGCAGTAGAGAAGCAGGAGAAAGGGCAAGGCCACTTTGTGGCCTTGCAACAGCAACAGAAAGGCTGCTGGCCAGAACATGGCCTGGGGGAGGGCTGGGAGTGACAGCTCAAGTTTCGGGCAGTGTACAAGAGCAAAGGTAGGAGGTAGTGGGCAGTCAGCACAAGGTGGACACTGTGAGGTCAGCAGGCAGGGAGTAGATGGGGTGGTAGTCAAAGGCAGGCCCAATGGGGCTGATACGGACTGCTCAGTCTTTTGTTCTAGGGAAGGAGGCAGGGTGCTTCCCACACTGCAGAGAAACCAGATGGGTCAAGAGCGCCACTAAGGCAACTGGCTTCTCCTTAGAGACAGCGGATCTCAGCGAGGTACCTGCTGACTCAAGAGTGGCTCAGAGCACTGCAGAGGAAACATCCTGCCTTTCAGCACCTGGAAACTGGCAGCTGAGAGGACAGGAGGTTCTCAACAAAAGCAGGAATTTTTACCAACATGGCCACCTGGCTCTACTCTCACACTACAGCCACAGTGACCAAGAGGATAGGCTTCCCAGGTCTCCCTGACTTCATGAAATAGAAAGCAGAAAGCGAGGCAACCTGTAGGTTTCCTGCTCGGGAACAGACGCTTTTTATCAAACAAGGCCCATACCCCACAGACTGTTATCACCCTCCTCTCATTCTGCACAGCCTCCCACACTCATGTACCCCTTGCCCCCAGGTCTCTGGCAGGCTGCCTTCCTCAGGTGGCACTCCTGCCCCTGTGCCCTCTGGGATGGCCCACCCTTTTACCTCCTCTGGAGGGCAGTCATGTCTAATGACACGAGCCCCAAAGCACTTCTCTCATGGTCTTGGGTGCTGATTTCCTAAGCTGGCCACCAAGAACTAAGAGAAGGATCCTGGCCCATAATGAAAACACTGTGTCCAGATGCTCCACCTGGCACACAAGCCACAAGAAAAGGGAACTGGTCTGATCGATGCTGGGAGGGGACACCCAGGAGACCCCGAAGCAGACAATGCCTGTCAGTTGTAGACTCTGAAGGCAGCACCTCAAATTTCAAGCACAGAAGCCCAGGAGGCCCCACTCCCATGACTACGCCTGCCACTCAACTGGGCCAACTCAGTAAAGAGACCTCTGCTCTCTCCTTCCCAAATGATCCTGAAATCCCTCAACAAACATAACTGGCTGAACAAATTCAAAGGAATAAACCCTGGGCTGCTGAGTAGGCGGCAGTTCCCAGGGTGCACACTTCCAGAGCACATGTCTATTTGGCCAAGGATGATGTCTTCTCTTAAGTTAAAAAATCAGGATTGCCCACGTCTGTGTCCCACTATACAACTTTAAAGCCATGAACTGATGACCCAGTATAGTCACTTAACAGATTATTTATTTTCTTTTTAAAAATAAAATCTATTAAATTTTAATTGTGTATGTGTGCTGAGTGCACGAGAAGGCCAGAAGAGATCACTGGATCCCCTGGAGCTGGAGTTACAGATAGTACAGAGTTGCCATGTATATGCTGGAACTGAACCCTAAGTCTTTTAGAAGAGCAGGAAGAAATAGTCAAGCCATTATTCCAGCCAGCAGAATATTTATTTTTACCATCCTCCTCCCCCGACAGGGTTTCTCTGTGTAGCCTTGGCTGTCCTGGACTGGCTTTGTAGACCAGGCTGTCTTCGAGCTCACAGAAATCTGCCTGCCTCTGCCTCAAGTGCTGGGATTACAGACATGTGCCACCGTACCCCGCAGAGCATTTACTTTCTATAGAAAGCCTTTCCCTGTCTCTAAACTCTGGGAAACATCCCAGCCAAGGCTCGGAATCAAATGCCCTCTGCAGACTGTTCTGAACAAACAAAACAGACTGATGGCCTCTTATCAGACCAAGGGCAGGATGGGAATGGGCTACAATTACATGCTCACACTCAACTGCACACAGTGAGCCCAAAGCCATCTCTGTGCTCCACAGGTGGCCTCCCCACAGCACTTGCTGTCAGACATGGGGTTACGGCATGAGCAAACCCAGAACCCTCAACTGGGACAGTAGGAAGCCTCAGCTGGCCGCAGCCGGGGCTTTCCATGTCCGACAGCTGCAGCAATGCTGGCACTGGGCACTTGTCTTGCCTCTCCTTGCTGAGTCAGATGACTCTAGGAAGGCACCATGGGGTGGCACCAGGTGAGTGGCAGAACAGACACAGGCTTTGTGTCCAGTGCTCAGAGATGAGACATAAAGCCAACAGCCATTCCCAGTGGTAAAAGTAATGCTTCTTAACAGACAGAAAAACATTTACTTACTGGGTTAGGGCTGAGAGAATGAGCAAATCTAAACTTCCTCCCTCCGTAATAGGAGGATGACCTTGTAACAGCCTTGGTCCAAGTTACTGCTTTCCTCTCTAAGGCAAGGGCTGATCATCAAAGTAAGATAATTACCTTCTCTGGCCAGATGCCCAGGTGGAAGTAGAGTCTGGCCTGGAGGAGCAGGAGCTGCACCTGGTCTGGGTACATCGCCAGGTACAGGTCCAAGGAGTCTCTGAGGAGCTGGTAGGACTGGTCAATGCCTTCCCTGAGGAGAATAAGACACTTCACCTCAGTCTGTGCACTTCCAATGAAGTCTATAAGCAACTGGTGGCGACTCCAAGGCTTCTGATGCCCACACTTACTCCCCAGTCCTGCACTGCGAAGTTCTCGGCAGAACCCACACTGAACACAAGCCTGTACACATTAACACCTGCCCTCACTGAGCAGTCACTGCAGCAGCATGCGCAGATCCAGAACCCTGAAGAGCAGAGCAGAGGCTGGGAGGGGAGCAGCGCAACCCCGGTAGAGATGTCAGTTACGGTCAGCACTGGGAACAGGTGTCTGCTCTGGTGTGGGGGGGCTGGACAGTGGACCAGCTTCATGTGCATGCAGACAGGTTAGCCCCTCAGCAGTCTGCTCAACTGTGCCAACAACTGACAACTGTTCTAAAAACAGTCTATTAAAGACAAATTCTGTTACGTGAATCCTGGTTGGCATCAGGAAGGCAACTGTGATAACCACCTACAGTGATTGCCCATGACTCAGTTCTGTGAGCTATGGAGCAGAGTTAACCTCAGACTCCGTTCTCTTACAGGAGGGTGGAAGGTCCGAGGTCACAGCACCTGGATGGAGGACACCATCTGTGCTGCGCTAAGACACTCTGACTTCTGAAGAATGCATCTAGTGTTTGAGCAGAGTTGGGTCCACTGCAAACATGAGGGGCAGCTACTCCGAATGGACAAAACCACAGCTGATGTCACAGTTAGCACAGGCCAGCTCATCACAAGCCTTTTGCTGAGACCAGAAACTAGAACGCACACTGTGGGAGCTGTGCTGAAGCCCCACTGTGTACACTAGCGAGGCTGTGCCCTCACCTTTTGCCCAGGCTCAGCAGGTTGCCCACCATGCGCTGCAGCACTTTCTTCACGTTCACCACACCATAGAGCGCTGCTGTCACATGCTGGCCGATCAGGTACTCACACTCCTTCACAGTCAGCTGCTTGCCCTTCCCAAAAGCATCGATGTAGATGTAGTCGAAGATGTCCAGGGTTGCCCTGCCCAAGAAGAGACAATCAGTCAGAACTAAAACCCCAGAGGGAGGGGCTCCAGGCAGAGGTGGAAGTCAGAGCACCACTTCACTGTTACCAAGGCACCATCAGGGCCCTGGCTGCAGTGAGCATGAGGTCCTGTTATTAGGAAGCAGAAGCAAGCTAGGCATGGTGCATGCCTGTAATCCCAGGACTCAGGAGGCTGAGGTGGGCAGATTACTGTGAGTTTGAGGCCAGCCTGGTCTACAAAGTGAGTTCCAGGACAATCAGGAACTCACAGAGAAACCCTGTCTCAGAAGAAAAACAGAAACAAAAAAACAAGAGAGAGAGAGAGAGATGGCTCAGCGGATAAAAGCCCTTGCTGTCAAGCCTGATGACATGCATGAGTTTGATTCCTGGGACCCACACGAAGGAAAGACTCTGACAAGCTTGTCCTGGATTCTACACACATGCTGTGGCATCCACATACATGGTAACAAACAAGGGCAGCAGTGTAGCACACAGCCTGACAGCTGCTCAGAGTCCTTTAGCCCTGAGCCAGGAGTCCAAAGCACACTGACAGAAGACATGGGGAGTGACTAGGATGGCTGCTAATGACAGAGTGGCAAACAGCCGCCTGCCTGGGGATCCTGGCTCTGTGAAGACCTGAGGGCATATGGAGCCTCAGCCTTGGTCATCCTGTCTGTCCACACAACCTCAGGCTGGTAGCCCAGAGGGCAATGACACTGGATCTGTTCACACATCCTCACGGCATTGCCAAGTGGTCTTGTGTGCTCAGGGAGGGGTGGGTGGCTCTACATTGGGACAGCTTCTTTTGAGCAATCCTGATCTCATGCCCACCACAATCACACATTTTCTCTTTGGCTGCTAACTCTCAGTCGGATTCCTTTCCTGAATTGAGTTCATTGCACACTTTTGGCAAAGATTTGAGACTTACATAAACGTTCTAAAGAAGCACCGAACTTGTTGGCATTTGCTAAGAGGCCAGAACTTCCTACATGAAGTCATCACGATGTAAAACACATGGACAAAATGTGCATGTGGCTAAGCGCCAGGGTGTTTTAAAAACTTGCCTGGACTAGGTGTGCCATAAGAACATAGAGCTGAACATAGAAGATCAGTTCTGGGGATGGGTGAACCTAGGCAAGGTTCATCCTGTGGCACACACAAAAAAATTAAGTCCTCCAAACAAAAACCCAAACAGCTACTACTATATGTACTAAAAGTGAAAGCCAAAAAAAGTTTGTACAGATAATAAAAAAAAAAATACATTAAAAAAAATGTAATGTCTACATATAAGTACAACTTAGCAAAACTAGCTGGGCATAATAGCACATGACTTCAATCCTGGCACAGAGGCAGATGCAGGTAGATCCCTATAATTTTTGGGCCTGTTTGATCTATACTGCAAGTTGCAGTCCAGCCAGGGCTACAAACAAATACTTCACAAAATTTAAAATGCAGAAGATAGTTTTGATGACACCAATAAGACATGTCATCCCAAACAGCAAGCTTAATGATGAAAATGGAGGTGCATTCCTGGCAGAAGCCCCTGGGCTGGAATCTCAGTGGTAAAGGTGCTGGTTGACTGCCAAGTCCAAGGTCCTGAATTTGATCCCTGGGACCCAAACAACAGAAGGAAAAAAAATGACTTCCCCACAAGTTGTCCTCTGACTTCTACACACACACACACACACACACACACACACACACACACACACACACACA